ATGGAGGCCTATCTATAAATGATACGCTTGGGACTCTTCTGGTGGTCAACGCTATCTCTCTAACTTAAAGGTGGATACAAAGTTACAAAAAATGAAGAAGAACAAATTTCCTAAGGGCTGTAATTAAAAACGCTGAACAAGTAAGTCTCAACTCTAAAATGGTGTTACAAAGTCATTCATTTTTATAGTAAAAAATCCTTAGAATTTTCTCTTGCAGACTGTACTGGAGTTTGTATTTCAGCAATGGAAGATTGAGTGTATTTCACATCTTAGATAACAGTGAGTTTAAAAAGTTAACAAGAGCAAAAGTTATCAATATTTGATGAAATAAACTCATCTTATGACTCAGTATGATGAGACTAGATTGTGGAGGTGTGAGTTTTAGAAAACACCAGGCAGACAAAGTGGAAGAGTTGACTGTGAAACTCAAAAGAAGAACTAAATGTAGAGAACTTCTTTTCATTGTTAAAAAATAGATAACACTAGTGTAAAATACATCAACATAAAGCACAGAGGTATCAAAATTTTTATAACCTCTTTGTCTTCTTTTGTGCTATATACTGAATTTATTAAAGTACTATATTTTAATATTAATATCTCATAAAGAGATTTATTTCTGCAACAACACATCCAAAAAGTGTACAGTATTCACAGCTCTGCACTTTTTCCAGTTAAGTTCGCATCCTCAACATTTCACAGAAAATACCTCATTAAGCAAATGAGGAAACAGTTATTTTTTTTATTTATTAAAGATAGAAAACCAAGAAATCACATTTATATTAAATAAAATAATATATTTTGTTATGTTATTGATCCACCTTTGGGAGAAACTACTGACGCAATATGATGAATAGGATGCCACAAACATAGACCACCAATCTTTTGGAAATTTGGTCCATTCTTTTTTGCAGTACTTCTCCAGCTTCATAGATTTAATTGAAATATATCTATGCATAGCTATTTCCAGATCTCTGCAAAGATATAAATTCAAGTTGAAGTATGTATTGAATACACCATGTCATTCACAGAGTGGTTCTGAAGCTGCTTCTCTGAGATTTTGCCTTTGGGCCTTTAGTCGATGCGCTCAAGAGCAGGCTTTCATCCCGCAAGAACCTGTATATTGCTTCATTTGTCTTTCCCTATATCCTGACTCTTCTTTCAGTTCCTGCTTAATGCTGCTTTCACGCCGATACCATACCTGCATGCTTCATTGTAGGGATGGTATTGGCCTGGTGATAAGCAATGCTTGGTTTGCTTCAAATGTGATACCATTTGCCACAAAGTTTTCAATCCGTGTCGTGTCAGACCAGAGAAATGTTTTTCTCATGGTCTGAGATTCTTTTAGGCGACCACTCTACTGTACTTGCTTGACTTTTGGTTTGGTAGAGAAAGAAAAGGTTATCCCTCTGTAAGGTTCCTTTCCTTCTATAGAGAAACACTGACAGAGTAAGGGTTCTTTTTCACCTTACTGAATAAGGCCATTCTCCCATTTTCACCCAATTTAGATTGTCCGCGAGGTAGGAAGAGTTCTGCTGGTTCCAACCATCTTCCATTTCCAAATGATGGAGGCTTTTGTGCTCAATGGGATCGTCAACCCTGACATATTTCAATATCCTTCACAACAGTTTTGCTTCAGGACAACCTTTTCCAAGATTGGGACAAACAGTTCCTTTGACTTTATTTTGTGTTTGTCCTCTGAAATTCACTGTCGACTGTTGGAATTTATTTAGACAGGAACATTCCTTTCCTGATCATGTATAATCATCTGCACTGTAAAAAAAGACCGTGAAATTTACATAAAAGCTATGTAAAATCCCGACAGAATAGGTTTGTAAACCCCAAAACACATATTTTTTGTTTAAATTACAGCGAGCCTTTGTAAACTATTAAACAGAAGATTTTTGTGATATTTACAGCAACATTGCGTGATAATAATCAAATTTATTTGTTAAAGCTGAAAACATTGATAATTTAAACAAAGAAATAGTGTAATACTCATTTCAAAACAATTTTGTTAATTTAACATGCAAATGTTGTAAAAATGTTGTTTCATGCCATTATTACATAGAGCTCTATTGTGACCAGCTACATTTACACAAAAAATATTTTTCAAAGTAATTCACATGGTTTTAAAATACGGAAGAGGATTAAGGCCACTGGGAGAAAAAAAAGTTAACTGATTTTTTTTTATTTCTTTCAGTATAGTATGGGAAAAAAGTCAGAATTCTGACTTTAATCTCTGAATTCTGACTTTTTTTCTCAGAATTCTGACTTTTTTTATTGTCAGAATTCAGTCAGAATTCTGAGTTTAAAGTCAGAATTCTGAGATTAAAGTCAGAATACTAAATTAAAATAAAATTTAAAAAACAGTAAACTTTTTTTTTCAGTGGCCATAATCCTCTTCCGTACCAGAAGTAATAAAAATGTCCTCTGAAAAAAATATTTGTAAATCTGACATTAAAGATTTAGTTTAAGTTCTGAATAATTTCAGTCATTGCAGAAAGCCGACACTCCCTGAACGCACCGATCAAACAGTTCAACCTTGGCAGTTGATTTGAGCGGGTTCTGGCGGGATATTTGGGCGGTCGACGGACTTTGGGCAGGATCCCTCTTTTTTAGCTTTATTTTTGGACGCAGAAGTACGGAGCCCCCTAGGGGACATGGGGAATTTTTTTTCTTTTGCGTTCCCTCGCAATACTTTTGCGTTACCTCGCAATACTTTTGCGTTACCTCGCAATACTTTTGCGTTCCCTCGCAAAAACTTTTGCGTTCCCTCGCAAAACCTTTTGCGTTACCTCGCAATAGGGCTTGGTCGTCGTGACCATGTTGACGGCGCACTTTACGGCTTCCTTAGACTATTGCCTGTGTTCTCCCTCTCAGCCGTGTTTTATTTCGTTTAATTTCACCGTAACTTGATTTCAACCATGGTAAACCGTTGCTGTATTGTGGGCTGTAACAGCGCATCACATGATCGCCGAGGGAAAAACCTACAAAATGGGATAACTTTCCACCGCTGTCCTGCCTGGAGGCGCAAACACGGAGACCAAGTTTCACAGATAACAAAGAGTCGTCGGCTAGCTTGGATCGCGGCTGTAAGACGAGAGAACAGAACTTTCCACAGTATCCTGATGTCAATGCGAGTGTGTTCCCTGCATTTTCATTCTGGTAAGTTAAAGATGCACGGTTTTATTTTATAGCCTACAGTATTTCCTTCCTTCATCCGTGGCACCACATACAAGCATGAACGCGCGCCCAGAGACTGTTGATATAGCATTTTCATCCTCGTTGGTTGATATAGCATTTTATCCTCTTTGGTAGAACACACTGCCAGTTCCTACAAGGACAGGGACATCCCTCTCCATTTTCAAAAAAAACCCTGAGGTTGACAGCTGTCATAGCACCACTTATAAATTTTGCTGATCCTAGCGCTTACCAGCCGTCTTGTAAAGTAATGTAATCATATAATACAATTTAATAATGTGTATATTGAGGATCATTGATAACATTATGGTTCTATATGTGTTCAACACTGCTGCTGTGGATAATAATTTTAAATTGTGTCACCAGGAAAACCAGCAAATGAAATGTACACCTCGCATCCGGATTGGGCACCATCACTACACTTGGGCCACACTGAGATAAAGGCCACACAGACTGCACGCTATGAGAGACAGGAAAAGAGAAAACGGCAAAGGACTGACAGTACACCTGCGAGGATGAGACAGCTATTGATGACCTTGTTCCACCCGGTAAGCCTTACAGAGCCAGAAGATTCAACACCGTATGTTGCTTTTGTGGCTTTTTCAGCTGCATGATGCACATTTAGCTAAAAGATGTCCTTATTTTATCCATAGTGGAGACACCAGCACCAGCTGAGGATGGAGCTGAGCAGACACCGCCGGCGTGCTGAAATCAACCGGCTGCTGGAGGAGAACAGGACCCTGAAACGTGAGCTTGGCCAGAGAAAAATGGATGAAGATTTCCTGAAGGAAGACACCGTCAAAGTGAAATAGTACACTGGACTTCCACACCTTAAAGTCAACCACTTTATTCTGGTGTTTATGAATTACTGTATTAAAGAAAAGATTGATGCTCAATATGGAATTGACAATTTCTTTGTATCAACAATACACTCTAAGCAAACATTTAACAAGTGGGTTGTTTTTTAGCCATAGGTGTGTTTTGCATCCATACCCAAAAGCAAGAGGTCTCAAACGATCAGATCCTTTTCAGTGTTTATTTGCAAGTAGTGAAACTTGAGAACACAGTGCAGCGCAGAACAGAGCAGTGCAGTTTGAATGCTTGTAGGTAAATGGTTACAAATAAAAAATGGACGCGATGAAAATGCAGTGCAATTACTTACAATAACATAGTATGTATTTATACAAAATCTTCAATCCTATTAATAAGTCGGTCTTAATGAAACATCAATGGAGAAATGGAAAGTGGAGATATTGCAAATTATTATTATACAAATTGTAGTTATAGTAAACATTAACAGTTAAACACTGTTAGTGCAAATTCTTATATAAGTATTTATAATAATATGCATTACTTAAATTGTATAAATAAAGGCTGCGATGCAATATGTCATGATATACAATAATATAATCTATAATTGTATAATATAACAACGTGCAATAATATACAAATATAACAATACAATGTAATAATACAAAATACTATGCTTTTTATAAAAAATGTCTATGTATAAAAAAAATTCCAAAGTAATAAAAAATACGTATTTATAAAACATCAATTACAAACATAAAAATTGGAGGTAGATCAAATTAAGTAATAACAGATATCAATAACATTTGAAGTAGTGCAAATTATTACCGGTACTATAGTACACATTAAAAAACAATGTTAGTGCAATGTCTTATATAATTACTTTTAACAATATGCATTTCTTAAATTGTATAAATAAAGGCTGCGATGCAATATGTCATGATATACAATAATATAATCTATAATTGTATTGTAATATAACAACGTGCAATAATATGCAGCTGCAATGTCTTTCACTGTCTCACAGTGCTGGAGAAGGACAGCTGGTGGAGCATTTTCAAACTTTGGGTCGCGCAGACGGTCTTGCAGGGGTTTTGGGATCACAGCTGGCTGGACAGGAGCAGCATAGTTGTGAAAGTAGGGCTTCACTGTGGACATACAAACTGACCTATGGTTCTGAAGAACAGGGAACATTGACGATAAGTCGTCCAATGTGGCTTGGGCAGTGCGTCTGCTGGCCCGTGTCCGTAGGCCAGGCATGGGAATGTTGTCATCGATGACTCTGTCCAGAGCAATCCTCTGCACTTTGGATGAAGTGAAGTCCATCTTGTGGGCGACTTCACCGCTGACTTTGTTGATACCTGCTGGTATTTTCCAATAAGCTGGCACATCTGTCACAGTCTTTTTCCCACGGATGCGGACTGCTGCCTCAATCTTAAACAGCAGAGCCCCAACATGTGTACATGCCTCTGCAATTCCAGCCATGCATGTACAGTGTGCACAGCAAACCTGCCCATCGTCAGCAATGATGACCCATGGCTTCAGGGGAGTCTCATTAATGCGCTGAGAGTGCAAGACCTGAGGAGAAAAAAAATAGACATAAATTATGCAGGTAAGGACACCATTATATTTCATTCTATGCTGGAAAGCAAACGTTAACCTCAACCCCTCATGCATGTGTATACATATCATATAAATCACAGTTATACAACAGTAAAGTATAACAACCACGCTGTTATATTGTTATATCACTTAAAAGAAAAAGAAATGAAATGAGCACAGGACATTTAAACCTGCATAATACCTCTGACTGAATGATTTAAGCTCAAAGTTACCCGTTACAGTGTTTTATGAGGTCAGATTTAATAACCCGCAGTCAATACTGCACTCATTTTTCTAAATAGTTCACTTTGAAAGACTCTGATTCAAACTAGGAGTTAACTTGAATGGCCACAGCACTGCACTATTGTTTATTTTTTTATATTTTGCGGATCTTTGACTATTTAATCTATTCCTTAAAATTTTATTAATAACAATGTTCAATAAATGATTTTCAACAAAATACAGATGTAACACCTATCCAGTTTCTGAATGATGGTAAAAAAATCTTGTTTCTACCAGCAGCTGGGGGAGACTAGATTAGAAGATGGTTCAGAAAACCTGTTAGGACACATTTTTTTTCTAACACTAAGTATCAAACAAATGCTGATTTCTATTTCAGCAAATTATTCTTAAATTTTTTTTTTATATTTTGAATAATGTTTTGATGAAGATTTGAGATTCCTTTCACTGAATGAATGGTCACAAAGCTAGTGTTAAGCTTGAAGTCTCTGGCCAAGCTCACGTTTCAGGGTCCTGTTCTCCTCCAGCAGCCGGTTGATTTCAGCACGCCGGCGCTGACAGAAGTCACATTCTGTCAGCGGTGTCTGCTCAGCTCCATCCTCAGCTGGTGCTGGTGTCTCCACTATGGATAAAATAAGGACATCTTTTAGCTAAATGTGCATCATGCAGCTGAAAAAGCCACAAAAGCAACATACGGTGTTGAATCTGCTGGCTCTGTAAGGCTTACCGGGTGGAACAAGGTCATCAATAGCTGTCTCATCCTCGCAGGTGTACTGTCAGTCCTTTGCCGTTTTCTCTTTTCCTGTCTCTCATAGCGTGCAGTCTGTGTGGCCTTTATCTCAGTGTGGCCCAAGTGTAGTGATGGTGCCCAATCCGGATGCGAGGTGTACATTTCATTTGCTGGTTTTCCTGGTGACACAATTTAAAATTATTATCCACAGCAGCAGTGTTGAACACATATAGAACCATAATGTTATCAATGATCCTCAATATACACATTATTAAATTGTATTATATGATTACATTACATTACAAGACGGCTGGTAAGCGCTAGGATCAGCAAAATTTATAAGTGGTGCTATGACAGCTGTCAACCTCAGGGTTTTTTTTGAAAATGGAGAGGGATGTCCCTGTCCTTGTAGGAACTGGCAGTGTGTTCTACCAAAGAGGATAAAATGCTATATCAACCAACGAGGATGAAAATGCTATATCAACAGTCTCTGGGCGCGCGTTCATGCTTGTATGTGGTGCCACGGATGAAGGAAGGAAACACTGTAGGCTATAAAATAAAACCGTGCATCTTTAACTTACCAGAATGAAAATGCAGGGAACACACTCGCATTGACATCAGGATACTGTGGAAAGTTCTGTTCTGTCGTCTTACAGCCGCGATCCAAGCTAGCCGACGACTCTTTGTTATCTGTGAAACTTGGTCTCCGTGTTTGCGCCTCCAGGCAGAACAGCGGTGGAAAGTTATCCCATTTTGTAGGTTTTTCCCTCGGCGATCATGTGATGCGCTGTTACAGCCCACAATACAGCAACGGTTTACCATGGTTGAAATCAAGTTACGGTGAAATTAAACGAAATAAAACACGGCTGAGAGGGAGAACACAGGCAATAGTCTAAGGAAGCCGTAAAGTGCGCCGTCAACATGGTCACGACGACCAAGCCCTATTGCGAGGTAACGCAAAAGGTTTTGCGAGGGAACGCAAAAGTTTTTGCGAGGGAACGCAAAAGTATTGCGAGGTAACGCAAAAGTATTGCGAGGGAACGCAAAAGTATTGCGAGGGAACGCAAAAGAAAAAAAATTCCCCATGTCCCCTAGGGGGCTCCGTACAGAAGAGACTGTTTTCAAGTTCGAAATGCTCATCCCTGATTGGATAGCAGAAGAAGCTGTTGGCCTGCGAGCTGGCCAGAGCTAAGCGGTCTTCGGAGCAGAGACTACAGGAGAGGATCAATCTTTGGATCATTTTGGCTCTTTAAAGAGGAACATTTTACGATTTAACATATATTTTGAGGATCTTTGGCTGTTAATTTCAACCAGAAAATCAAGAGTTTACACGGTAAGATTTGAACGTCCTTCTTTTTCTTTCTTACTTTTTTGAGCATGCGAAAATCTCTACAGATAAACACAAGGTATATGCTAGTAGTTGATATTTTAGCCCACTCAGAATCCTAAAATGATCACCTGCGTTTTCTGCAAGAAGAAATTGGACACGTTGAGGGGTTATATACTACACTGCAGAGTGCATAGAAATTAGCCTCGTTGTTTATTTAAATGTGCTGGTGCTAACTGTAGCCAAACTTTTACGACTTACGCAGCTTTCAAGGGCCATTTTTATCGTCTGCACAATGTCCCTGCACCGCAGGCTGCTGCAAAAGCTGTTGTTACGGATTTAAAATGTGCAGTTTCGTCATGTGCCCGCCATTTTTCACACGGTGAAAGAGCTCATGTCTTAACCCTATAATGCCAAATGTATCATATTTGATACATACGGTTTCTAAAATGTTTTTAGGGAAGAGGATTAGGGCCACTGGAAAAAAAAAAAGTTTTATTTCAGTTTAACATGGGGAAAAAAGTCAGAATTCTGACTTTTTTCTAGGAATTCTGACTGAATTCTAACAATAAAAAAAGTCAGCATTCTGAGACTAAAGTAAGAATTCTGACTTTTTTCTCATACTAAACTGAAATAAAATTTAAAAATCAGTTAACTTATTTTTTTTTCCACTGTCCCTAATCCTTCCCCGTATTGTTTTGCATCTGACACCTTTTGCATAATTTAATGGTAAAAACTTTGCTCAAAATCCTATTGTACACAATCAGATATACCTGATAACAGCCAGTAGAAGAGTACACAAAAATTAGTCTTGACTTATTGCATAGTAATAAATTATTAATATCAAAAATGTATTTCTGTTTTTTCTTTTTACATATTTTGTTAAAAGGGAGAATAAGGACTTCAAACCAAAAAAAAGTAATTTTCTGTTTTGTTTTTCTTCTTGGATCGGGCTTTAAAGGGTTAAGTGATCACATCGGAGAGGGCAGGTCTCTGTCATGTCCAGTCTGTTAATGTCCTGATGGATCTGTATATGTGCTGATGGATATCCACAAAGGCATCTTCCTCTCAGAATACCACCTGTATTCTGTGACAAAAGACAGTCTTGGGTTGCACTGTGTTAACATTAATGACTTGCCCGATTTCTATCCTTTGGTATCTTACATTCTCGATGGATACCAAGTCATTCCCCTGAAACACAGTATTGTGGCAAAATAAAGCCCATTGTAGCTTGCTTAGCTCTGACTGTAAATAGTTTGACATTAAATGTTACATGATGTCCCTGTTCTGTTAAGTATATGTAATATTTTGCATTATTTTTCTGTTCTGTTTGAAGGTGCCATTTCTTCATGACAAATATGAGTGACTCAGGGCAAACCTTCCTAGATGTCGCAATCATGGAGGTCCTACCAGAACTTCCAGCAGTAAACAAAAACATCCTGGTGGAACACTTGCAGTCCATCGGAGTTGAGATATATGATGATCTACGCTTCGTAACAGAGGCTGATTTGATGACAGCATTAAGACCTGTTCAAGCCAGAAAGCTTCTTTCTGCTTGGAAAATGAAATGTAAGTAGAAACTCTACATATGTTTCAACACATAAAAATATTTAGTGTTCAAAAGTAGACATTGACATTGTGAAATATAGTTCATTTTGCATCATAAAATATGTATATATTTTTTCTCTTTTAAAGACCAAACTCCTGAAAACAGCTCACCCTCATCTGTAGACGCCTTACCTACCCAATCACTGTCATCACTCTCGGTTTCACCCGGAAGTACATCATCTGCAAGCAGCCAAGAACTTGACACACAGTGGAACGACAACTTTGAAATTCCTTGGAGGAAATTTCCTGAAGAGGTGATGCATGCTTTGGAGAGGGGGAAAAGGCTTGGCTCAAAACTGAGGAGGCAAATGGTCCGGATTATTGTGGCGGACATGATGGAAAAATGCCCTCATGTAGGTAAAAAGCACTCCACTGATGTAGCCAAAAAAATGGTTGCAAAATATCCCAGTTCCCTGCAAGATGTAATAGATGGGGATATTGTTGGGGCAGGCTACCATTCCCTTGTCAAACAGTTGCAGAACAGAATTGAGAATGTTAGGCGCACTTCAACACCCAAAATTAGAAAAAGAAAACATCAGACTGAAGAGTCAGACGACACAGATGAGATCCCATTACAAGAAAGAGCAGCAATGCAAGACACGTACGGGTGCATCAAATGGAATGTAAAATTTCTGCCCCGTGAAGAAACTGAAGAGAGCCAGCAGCTAAAGATGGAAAAACTCAAAGTGATGTTCCAACACTCTGATGACAATCCAGAGGAGGTAAAAAGTCTAGTGAAGTCCACTTTTTACACACAGCGCCGACATGTCAACCAGGGAAAAAGCATCAAGTGGCTTAGAAAGGAGTGGCCGTTTTGTTTTGATGAACTTGGCATGTCATTTCATTTCAAGGAACAGACTGGGATTGACCTCAAAGAGACATTCACACGAAATTTGGATTTGAAAGGGCAAAGGCTTCTGAACTATATGACCACGGTTTGTGTCAACAAGAGCAAGAAGTTCCTTCAGACTTACACAAGACTTCAGAGGATGCGGGGACTGCAGAGTGGCTGCTCGGATGACCTGAAAGAGATGATCCTGCTTCTGTTCAGCTACTTTGATGAGAAGGAGGAGTCCATGTTCTTCTGTGTGAAGGATACATGTCTGGCAGAGGAGGTGCAACTGGAGCAAGTGCCTCTGACACCCACCATTATTGTCTGTGGTAAGCTCATCTTTTTTTCTTTCTTTTTTATAGCACTGCTTATAGAATTTGTCTTGAGTGCAGCATTTATTAACACAACCTTTTTTTTTTAAATGATCTATCCACAGGACAGTCCTGCTTTTCATCAAGAAGATACATGCTGAGTCTGGACAGGAACCTCATCAACACAAACATCTCATCCTTCATCTCTGCATTGTGCCTCATGTTTGGGAGCTACTACTGTTTTAACATCCACTACCCATCTGAGCTGGCTTCCACCCTTGAGTTTCTTCAAAGGTGGGTAAATGGTTCTCTTCCTCCTTTATCACACTCTCTTCTATCACACTCGTCCTCCTTCATCACACTCTCTTCTATCACACTCTTCCTCCTTTATCACACTCTTCCTCCTTCATCACACTCTCTTCTATCACACTCTTCCTTCTTTCTCACACTCTTCCTTCTTTATCACACTCGTCCTCCTTCATCACACTCTCTTCTATCACACTCTTCCTTCTTTCTCACACTCTTCCTTCTTTATCACACTCGTCCTCCTTCATCACACTCTCTTCTATCACACTCTTCCTTCTTTCTCACACTCTTCCTTCTTTATCACACTCGTCCTCCTTCATCACACTCTCTTCTATCACACTCTTCCTCCTTCATCACACATATCCTCTCAATCAAATTCAGGTTGGCTGCATGTGTGCCATATCTGATGTGAGATGGAGACATTTTATTGTAATTCCTTTGGGAGATAGTAGATCAATTGTGGGAACCAAAAAAGTTCAGAGAGTTGGTAGGACTGGTGTTAACTGATCAATTAAATGGTTTTATATGCTTCTCTTCTGCAGGTGTTTCTTCTCGATAAACCCGGAAAAAGGAACCAAAGTGGAGAACAAAAACTCAAAGCGCCATCTCAGCGTGAACCCCCGAGTCCTTACCTTGATACAGGAACTCGCCGATCACGAGTGGTGTGAAACCTAAACATGGACATATTCAGGCCAGGGACTGTTTGTATGAAAAGAGGTACTGTATATTTCCACACTGTTGAAAGCACAATGCGTGTCATGGTAAGGACAGCACAATGTTTGTTTGTTTTGTTTTTTTGGTTATCCAAAGTTTTGTGTTAAACACACAATGCTTGTCATGGTAATGACAGCACAATATGTTTGGGGTTTTCTTGGTGTTTTGTAAGTGCGCTAAGTAACTTTTGTTTTTCAATGACAATATTTCAAATGTTAGCAGTTCTTTAATGAAAGCCTCAAACTGATTTTGTCGTTTTCCAGTTTGCACTATGTCAACTAAGGCACTGTATCCTTGTTTTGTTTTGAGGTCTAAATGTGCATTATGCAGCTTTCTGGTCTATTAACAACTTTTTTCTTGAAGATAATCCTCCTGCAGGAATGTTCCACAGGTTCCTGTAAAACTATCTTGCTTTTCTTCAGTTAGAAGTGAAGGATTTCACCACAGATTTGAATTCTAGTTTTATGCAACAAAAAATTTTAATGTATGTTGATGTTAACTAAAAATGCATCACTTGTTAACTTTTGATGCTGGCTGTTCAATAAATC